TCTACAGTAATGATAGGAATGCATTTATTATTTGCTCATGTAACTTGATCAAAAGGACTTCACCCAATAGATTTTTTTATTTTTTTATTTATCTGGTTAGAAGCTCAGACACTTCCTGGCATTGTCAAGTGGCATTGGTTTTGCTCCTGTAGTCGACTGGACTGCAACATGGAAACCATTGTCAATGTGGCTCCTGTCTCAGTGCAATGACAAATGTAGAGCAAGAGACCTGGCTATATTGCTAAGCAAGCAGTTGCTGTGACTTAGTGATTAAGTAGAAATAATGACGATTGAAAGTAGAACCCTCTTGAGTCCTGCAGCTCTCCTTATAGCCTAACTGGACATTCAAATCTTGTACTGTTAGTTTAGCACTTCTTAGAACAACGAACTGATGTCTCCCGCTACAGTTCAAAATTCAAAAGTCTGTATGTTTTTAAAATGTTTGCAAGATGATCAGAAATTTGCTAACTACTTTATGTACATTAAATATGAATTTTAAAAACAATTAAATTATAAAATCATAAAGTCATACATATGTTTTATGTATATTTCTATCCTGCAAAATAGGCCACACAAACCTGGTAACTCTGCAGAGATCCTACCAGTTATTCCTGCTGTATATGGAACTCTGATTTAATAGCCTGGGCTTTGATTAGTTTTGCAGTTAGTTAGTTTCATGTAAAATATGAATAGTTCTCAGGAGTAAATAAAAAGGACACATTTTAATGGCTGCTTTTAAGACTATCAGAGCCTCTAAAGAAATCGTGTTTGTGCAAACTTGCTTACTGCAGGCTTCAACTGGAAGTTTCACTTTCCGTCTCAGCTTTGCAAATATCCCTCTTCTAGTTGAAGGTCATTTTTGGAGCCTTATTCTTAAGCGCTACAACTTCTCCAACTCAGTGGCGGCTGGTGAAAAATATTCTTGATGGGGCTCTGCCGTGTCATACTCAGTTTTCAGTGACCATCCCACTGTGATTTAACACAAACTGCAGGATACCAGTTCTTTTTGAAATAGTAGGTAATTATTTAATCAGTAAACAATAATACACGTCAGTCATTTTGACAGACAGCCAACACTTTACTGCATACTGCACAAACGAACTTAAAAAACTTAACTTAGAAAACGAAATCAGAATAATATATACACAAATAATGATCAGCCGATTGATAAATAATGTAAATTATTGATAGTTGTTGCCTTCGTGCTCAGATAGTAAGTAGAGACTTCTTCATCATTAGACTACAGACTGAGTCTGGTTACTAGTGTTAAGTACACATTCCTGAAACATACACAGTGCTATTAACAAACACTATTAAGACAAAATAAAAGGAGGTGCCATTTACTGCTGGATATCTCATACTCTATACATCCTGCTAGCCACGCCTTTCTGCTGTACCAGTGGTGGGAAAATCCTCGGGTGTATGCTTTACCTTTTTCGCTGGCTTGTTGGCTGATTTTAATTTCGGGTTAATCTGGTCCAATTCCTTTAATACGCAGTTTTTCCACCAAAGTTCTCCTCTTGAATGGAGGTTGGAGAAGAGATTGTACTGAATATGGCGGCTACAATGCTGCTTCGTATGTACCTGTGGCCGTCATTGATTTCCTCCACCACGACACTGAGGGACTGGGCTTGGGGCGCTATCATGATCGCCCTTTGGGCATTATTTGTGACGATCTTGATTGCCAAATTTACTTTGCGTATCTTACCCAGCAACAGTCCCTTTTTGTGCCCCGAACACTCGTTTCCAACACATTTAAACACACGAATACTTAAATAATTGATCATAGCTAATGTTACATTTTTTAAAATAAAAAATAAATACAACACTCTCCACAAGGGAGGGCGGCGCCCTAGTGCTCTTTGTTCACTGCTCCAACTTCTTCTATCTGTTGTGAAAGAGTCAGAGTGGTACCACATGATGAGTGCATGGAGCTTTTCAAACGAACAGTCCTGTCTTGCTGCATTTTCTGATGCTTACTGTCCAGCACCTTGGGCTGTATTGTCTTGGTATTTGGAATTCTTTTCAAATTGATTGTCTCTTGTTTGATTCCACTTGCTTCCAACCATATACCAGCTCCATCTCGGCTTCCTTTACTATCAGACTGATCCGCCGAGTTTCCCCAAATAAACAGCCTCGTCCCTCCAAATCCCTCTCACGCTATTAATTTTCCCGTATCTGGCAGCCTCACATTCCTCACACATCATTTTGGGCAGGACGTGTCAATCTGTGGATGGTGGACCTAAATCTAGTTGTCTTTATTTGTTGTTTGCTGTGAATGTCGTGTGTCACTCCGGGGTGAACAAACACTGCCTGCTGTGTGGAGCTCCCCGATTGATGTGCTATATGGACTGTGTGTGATAACTTGTGCTGAGACATGCTGACTAATCAGCCAGATGGTGAGGGCTTTGTGCACCAAATTCATTCTACCACATCTGCAGGATTTCTCAAACTTCAGGGTATTTTGGATTAAAAAATAAAACATTTTTTTTACAGATTATACAAACTACTGCCAAATTTATGACATTCATTCATTTGAAGCAGTGGAACAAAAAAAGTACTAGCTTTAAATGGTATGGATACCCCAGAGGATATGTGTGTAATTTTCTCATTCATTCGTTTATTATTTTGCCTTGCCAAAGTTATTGTTTTAAACTTGTTGAACACATCTGATTGGCAGAGGTGAACAGTTCCTGTTGGTGTTCGATTGACATACAGAACTCATATAAAGTACATCCAGAATCAAACAATATATTTATTAACATCTGCATTGTTATAAGTGCAGTACCTTTGTATTTAATATTGTGTTGCTATATTGCATGCAGGTATTAGTATATTGTGAATGCATCCCAATGTCGATTCACACAAGTTATACAAACAAACAAATTAATAATATAATTTATATTTATCAAACCATCACGGTCCACTTCTCCACCACCGGTCTTTGTTTTCAGTCTGTTTCAAAAACACACATCAGTCACATCATCATCGAAGCTAAATGCAGTAATAACAAGTAGAGATGGTTTCCACTAGCTGGATCCAGTTTGGATCCAGTTCCCAGGTTTACTGTCCAGGTTTATTAAGCTCTGATGCTAACAAATCTCTTAACCTGTTTTTTGTTTGTTTTTAGAATCTCCCTTTGCCCTTTTTATTGGCAATGTGGAGAGCAGGCGTCTCATGTTGAGCCAGCACTGCCCGCAGCTTTGTTTGAACACCAGCAGCTGCACACTGTATCAACTGCAGCTAATTAATGAAATTCCATAGCGGTACAAATGATGTCTCTTCTTTTTACATCGTTCAACAAGAACAACTCTTTAAAAAAGATCCAATTGTTCTGATATATTACTTAACAGTTTTACATCTTAATTAGCAAAGAAGCAATAATAATTTCCTCATGTTTATCAGAGTGATATCGATGTAGGTATTTTAGGTTCTGTTTCACTGTTTATCTGTTTAAAGAGAACGTAAAATGTGTATAGTATGTTTTTAGTGTCGTTTCCCTTGCAAACATATACCCTATATGTTTGTTTTTTAACGCACTTGCCTCTTGATGCTCTTTAGATCAAGCGTGGAAAACAATGTCAGTGTGCACATCCTCTGTGTTTGCAGGATTACCGGCGTCGCATGTCACATTCTCATGCTGTTATGAGCTTGTACAATGCATATAGTTACTCGTCTTGAGCCATTTTATGAACATGTTGATTGATGTAATTGAAAGGATGAGGCACAGTGTTCAGTGATACGTGCCTCAGATAGAACACAAACACATCTTCTCCTCAGGCACAAACACGAGGTAATTTCCAAACCATGTTCGTCTCACATCAGCATCATGTTCATCTGGCGCTCCACTTCACAAACGTATCTTCTAAAACGTTTTGTACACTCTAAGATAAGGTTTAGAGATTGTCTTCAATTAAGTCCAATTTGCCATTCAAAACAGTCGGGAAACAGTTTAACACTAATGTGATTTCTAGGAGACAGGCTGGTCGTTAATTTCAGTACTTTAATGATGTAAAAATATAAATGATGTGTAATAATTTGACACTGTCATGACATATTAGTTCTATTTATTTAATCTTTTCAAATCTGCGTTAACTTTAAGTGTTGCATTAAACTGTCTGATCACTAGATTTTACAATGTATAGCTTTGTGTTCAATATAAACTTAAGCAGGAACTGAAGCACCAGAGTTGATTTTAAGAAAACTTTATCCTCAGTCTACAACTTTTAAATCTAATTTATGCAGAGGATTGTACTTCAATTTGGCATTTTTACAATGAACACTTTAAACTGCCTTGTCGTCAAAATTCCCCCAAATTTCACTGTCACAATCAAAATGATGTCTTTTTCTTTTTTGGAACTTTTACGTCTTAGAGCAAAGAATAATTTATGCCTTTGTGCCGGCGACGGCCAATTAGGTGTTTTTGGGTTGTCCATCTGTTTTTCCCTTCTCGTTAAAGCATTATATCAATAAAGCCATAAGGGAATTTCTTCAAGTTTGGTACAAACATTCACTTGGACTCAAGAATGAGCTGATTATATTTTGGTGGACAAAGGTCGAGGTCACAGTGTTCTCTCAAACCAATGTTTTTGCATTGTGATTACTATATATCCTGAACACTCACAGGAATCCTGTCACATTTGGCACAGACATTCACGTGGACTCAAGGATTATCTGATTAGATTTCAGTAGCCATATGTCAAAGGTCAAGGTCACAGTGACCTCACATTCATGTGAATGTGATTTGTCAGGACTGCCCTGAGGGGATTTTATTACATCTGACACAATTTGCTTGGACTGATTAGAAGAATTTGGTGGACTAAGGTCAAGGTCACTCTAAATATTATAACTCTGGAACCTCAAGGGAAAACATTTGGCATTTGGCTTGGACTCACAGATGTAATTTTCGTTGTAAAAGGTCAAGGTGGTCTCAAAACACATGTTTTTAGCCTCTTCATGCTTAAAACCTAAACGTTTTTTCCTTTCTCTTCTTCAACCAGATGCAACGTGGACAGTAAAGTATCCCGAGTGGCATGGCTCAATCGAACCACCATTCTATTCGCAGGAAGTGAGAAGTGGTCTCTGGACCCCCGCGTCATCCTGATGGAAAACACAGCCGTCACAGAGTACAGCATCAAGATCCAAAACGTTGACATCCACGACGAGGGGCCCTACGTCTGCTCCATTCTCACAAACAAGAAACCAAAATCCACAAAAGTGCATCTCATCGTTCAAGGTAAGACGCTGCTACCTTCCCACTGACTGCATTCAGCTGTGAGAGATAAGAGCTAGAACGGTGGTGTATTGGGAAACATTAGAAATCCCAAGCTCTTCTTGTGTGGGATCTGACCAGTAAAAGCTTTGAGTCGAATGAAATAAGAAATCTTTGCTCTTCTGTTTTAGGATGCTGTGATTAGATGGAATTCAGCGAGTGTTAGACCTGGAGATGAAACTGGGATTCAATCTCGATTTAATTTCAGATTGCTGATAGATATTGATTTCGGGCACAGTACACTGAAAAATGTCCTGGCCCAGTTTCTTTGCAAAGTTCTACTCGATCAATTGTCAACCTTGAGACTTGTCTGATGAAGTCAGGTTCTTTCATGGTGAGTTTCCACAAACAATTAGCACCCCCACAGGTCAAGACCTTGTAGCTGCACTAATCAGACAATTAACAATTTAATTAAATAGTTATCTAAAAAAAAAAACACTAAGACAATAACATATATTAAGAGAAGGCTGCTGACAAACCCCTGAGGTGAAACTTCTGACGTTTTGAAATAAGTTGAGGAAAAAAAAACATCTTTGAGAATAATTATTCCTTTTCTCTTATAAAAGACATAGCAACAATGAGATCTCATGGGAAATAATTGACATGAACTTCAAAAAATATTCACTTTCATGTAACCATAATTAACATATTTTTTTCTCACTGTAGAATTCATAATGATATCTCATTAACTGCGATTGATGCCAAGAAACATACCACCATGGCTTTATTCAAAGAACAGAAATATGTTCCCATGAATTAAATATGTCCTTTTTTTCTTCCATTGGATTGTGTCAAATAATGGTCATTAATGTTTTGAGCTTTTAATGTGATGAGCACAAATAATTTACAGCCTGCAATTGTATGTCACCGTTTGTATGCACGCAGCTGTCGACATGTGTGAGAACGTTTTCTCGCTCAAAAAAGGTTTTGATAACTCGAGGTCAGCATAAAATCTAGGTTTTTTTCATTGCACTTCTGGCAATCATACACCTAGTATACCTTTTCTTGACAGGTGTCATGTATGCATTGGTAATGTAATGATGTCTTTGTACAATACCAATTTTTCCTGGATATGAAAAGAAATTCACAGAGAACTAAAGCTGTAAACTGAACAAGGAAACCCCATGATTAAAAATATCAAGGCCTGTCATAATAACACATTTTGTTGGACGATATTTAGTTTGAATAATGAACTTAATTGTAACATTTGAATTAGAGTTAAAAATATTAAAATATCCTGAATTCATTTTTACATTTTTAATTAAAACATTAATAAAATAAACCACAGAAAAGCAAAACAATTTATAAATTGGACAGATAAAATTTACTCCCTGGCTCTGTTACTAAAAATTGAATTAATATTCAACATTTGCCACAGGAAATATGCTCGGTAAACAGGACGGCTATGATTTACAGGAGTTTTTTGCTTTGTATTGTATTAGGTTAGTTTTCCAACATTTTCTCAATACACAGACAATCACATTTATTTAGTAATTAATCAATAGTGCTGCATCATGAATCCAGGTGGCTCTGGTTACTTCTGGCTGTGCGCGTCTTGTGTGTAGCAGAGATTATGCACAAAATCTTGGACTTTTTTTGGATGTGTTAAAATCCTGTCTCACAAACTCTAGAGTGAATCAAATAATAATAATAAAGTCAACATCAGTACTGCTCTTGTGATGACTGTGTTTATGGTTTACTACTACTCGTTTTGTATTGGTGGTCCGTTGCGGATACCCCATATTCACACTGTTTGTCGCCACTGTTAAGTTCACTGGAGTTTTGAACCCAGAACGCAGGACAGACTCAACAGTTTATTGACAAACTGAGAATAGTAGCGAGGATCACGCGGTGGGCAGGCAGGACAGCGGAGGAGTGGCAGGTGAGGGGTTCAGGGGCTCAGTAGACAGGAGGGGGGTGTAGTGAAGGCCTCTGATGGTAGACAGGCTAGCAGGTGGTAGATGATCAGGAGTTGGCAGACTGGCAGGCAGGGATGGCCCTGAACAAAGGGAAAACAGGGCGTTAGGTTAGGACAAAAAGCACAATACAATTACAGGATGGAGGAAACGATCCGGCAAAACCTGGGAGGAAAGCTGGGGTTGAAGTACTGCAGGAGCTGATTCGGTGATGAGCATCAGTCGTGCCACACACACGAACAGACAGAGACACACAGGGAAAGGTTGGAGGAGAGGTGGAGACCATGACAACCGCCTTGTTCACCTAAACAAACTTTTTTCTGGCATCTCCGCTTCACTGTCCGTGTGTCAGTGTGTGAGTGAGTGCAAACTCTGCAGAGGAGATGAGGAAATGACACTCAAACACAGAGACACACCAGCTGAATGTTTGGCGCACAGGGGCGACCAAGGAAATGTCCTCTTCTGCTCCAACTGGACAACATCGTTGGACTTTGTCTGATGGTCAGTGACCATCGAGCCTGTAACCTGTAGTTCATAACTTAACTTCACTGTTAGAAATATTCCTGCAAACATTTTTGATGATGTCTGATGGTCAGTGTGATGTGAATGATGAATGTTTCATGGATATGACTTCGTAAGCTGATGCCACTTCTCTCACATCTTATTCATCTCTACACTATCAGTCAATATATTGATTACTTATTGAAATTTGCAGAATTACTATTCAATTCTTTTTTTAAATTAATTATACAAATGATGCAGCTGCACTGATACACTGTTCATGCTTTGTTGTAGCGTAAGCTTTTACTGGTTTTGTGAAGGTATCGGTCATGAAATGTGATCTGATATTCATCACGCAATGTGCTCAAGGTGGCGACACAAAAACATTTATAATCGTTTGTGTCTTTTAGCCTTTAAAAGTTCAAAGTGTTGTTGGACCAATAACAAACCTATGGATTTAAAAGTGATCTAGACATCCAATGGCAACGACAACCATACCTGCCGCAAAGCCGCTCCAGTCCTGACATATTCTTCAGACGTCTGGAGTGCATGACTTCCTGAGCTCATTCCATGGCATCTCTGCGAGGTGAAGGTCGGGGCTCTGACTGGGCCACTCACATTTACTTTGATGTTTAAGGTCATTGTCTCACTGCATCAGCCAGCTTCTATTAGGCTTCAACTGACCAACAGCCACCCTGACATTATCCTGTATCCTGTAGACACAGTAATTAAACCCACTCCATTGACAGGCTGTGGATTGATGAGTAAGTCCACTCTATTAACCCTTTGCAGCTTTGTACTTCAAACTTCGAACAACAAAATATGATCATGTTTTGAGACAGAACTTGACATACATTTAACTCATTGTTTGACTGCTACTGTAAATGACATTTTCAATGTATCTATTATATTTATTAAACACCACTTTGAAATTAATGCATTTGAAATCTAAACAAGACAGAATGGATGCATATATTTAAGTGTTTGCATATTTTTATTAGCTCTCCAATGTGTTGGATTCAAATTATGTTAAGATTGAGTTTGGAATCGAGTGGTCATTGACAGAAAATAAAGATGCTTCAATTTGAATAGATGCAAAGGGACATTCTCGACAATGCAAGAGAAGACTAACATTTCCATGAAAGCTTGTTACACACTTTTTTTTATGTCATTACATGGTGTAGAGTGGAATACGGGTGAAGAGAGAGAGGCCCAGGATAGTAATTATTTCATGCTGCCTTTTGTGTTGTATTTCTGTACGGCTTCTGTCTGTGAGCATAATCCATAATGATAGTTGCTATGACATTAATGTCGTAGACTTTGTGATATTTATGCAGGCAGTCCTGCTGTTTAATTGAGTAGAGAGACAGCCATGCAGTGAAATCAGATTCCCCATGCTGACACTAGTTTTAGGCCCAACTGTGGTGTAATGCTGCGTTCACATGTCCAACGATGTGAGAGTTTTTCTGTTGTGAGAGCATTTTGTAGGGAGGCCCACAGACGTATGTCCCACTCTGGACTGATAAGTGAATGAATACAATGAAAGGCAAAGACAGATCAGGTCAGTCCGTGGGGAATGTTAGTGGTTCCCTTTGTCCCTGCGGGTGTACTCCTCTCCAGCACTTCAGAAATGGAGATTGGTGCTGAACCTGTACACAGAGAAGGACTCTGGAGGCTAACATCAATCAGCACAGTGACCTTGTCAGCTGATACCCTCAGGAATACAGGGCATCTGCTCCCATGGTGACTGTGCACAGGGACATGACTTACTGCGGTTAAGCCACACTACACGAAATAATAATATCTTGGAGTGCTTTGCAATGCATGCTGTAAGGATTAGAAGAAGAGTGACGTGAACTCTTATAACATCAACATCAAGAGGCTCCATTGTATTTTGTTACATTGTAATTTCAGTAACTTCATTTCTTTCTCTGTGATCAACATTTGCGGTTTCTTTCTAATAGATTATCTCTACACTACGGACACATCTTTGTCAAGCATAAATGCTACTTGTGCTGAGAAAAGACATAGTCACCCTTTTGGTCTATGCGGTTGTCGACTTAAAGGTTCAGTGTGTAGAATTTTGTGATATCTAGTGTTGAAGTTGCATGTTGCAGCTGAACACCCCTCACCTCACCCTCTCCTTCCAAACATGAAAAATAACCTGTGGTAGCTTCAGTTGTCATAAAATCTCAAGAGGTGTTTAGTTTGTCCAGTCTGGACTAATGTAAAAAACGTGGCGGCCTCCATAGAGAGGACCCACTCCATGTAAATATAAAGTATTTAAATATAAAAGGCATTTTCTGGTGTAACGAAAACTACAATTCTTACAATTTAGATGAAACAAACGAATGAAAACACGACGACAACATAACATTTCTGCCAATAGATCCCTTTCACCCAAATCTTACACACTGGACCTTTAAAGCAATTTTTTAAGAGTATTTGCAGAGGTACTAAAACAGTTTTCGAATTCAAGGATATGAAAGGTTAGTAGCTAATGATGACTAAAATTATGTCTCTGCTGTTCATCAAATAATACAATAT